CCGCGTCTCTCTCTCTCTCTCTCTCTCTCTCTTTCCCTCATGCAGCGAAAAATTACGCTTAACTAATTTTACGCTCGCGGCTTTCCGGAACCGGGCTTTGTTCGTTTCTTTTCTCTCTTTCCTCTATATAACAACCGCATCAAAAATTTCCATAATTAATCAAAAAGCGTACGATTTTGGAATGATGTGAACCCAGGGTACAATTCGGTCAATAATTGACGCGCGTCGACAAACAAGCTAATTAAAGCCAACGGATGCAATGCATTCCGATATCGATATCGCACGTTAATTTCGAATCAGTGTGTTAATTAATCAGTCAGTCGGCGTGCCGCGATTATCGTGGCTATGAAAGAAATTTGTAATGACATATCGCGCCGTGCGTTTTCCGTTGTTCAAACAACATCCGCGATAGTTCATTCATCGAAACCTTATTTTATCGTGCCCGTACTTCCACCAGCGAATTTTCACGCGTTATATAAAATAGCAATCTCGATATGTTACGCCGGATAATATCGCATAATGGGCATTTTCACGCTTGTAAAATATTAACGATTCCGCCGATTCCCGTCCAATCCAGCCGATTATTAAACTCGCGCAACGTGATAGATATCGCCGGAATGCGTATCGAATGCACATACCGAATGACAGCTTTTTGCATAAACATCGATTATCGAAATATCAACCAATTTTTGTCCGTGACACCACACGTCCGGATATCCGGAGGTAGAAATCAAACATATTTGATAATGTTAATATTATCGGATAATTATAGAGACATCAGTTTATAGAACGCGTACACGGGGATGCCAATTATAATTATTCATGCGTAGTTACTGTACTTTATGTACTGTAGTATTCAAGGGACGTAATTCGAGTATCGCATTTTTGCGGCAAATTCGTTAACAAATTATTCCGATCCTCCTTACCTCGTTATTGCTGATCCTCGTAACCCTGACGTTATCCGTGAAAGTCGGCTCGGTCCACGTGATCGCCGTTCCGTTTCGTCCGACAACCTCGATGTCCCTCGGACAGTCTTTGACTTTCGGTGCCTCGCCACCTGAAGTTCGAGATTAGCAAATTGAAGTAACGGAGGATCCTCCGCCGCTTGTTTTATCGCTCCGCGCCGCGTCGAGGAAATTGCGGACCGTGAGAAAAGTCTTTCCCTCGCGCCGAATCGAATCGACGACGGTGTCAGAAAGTTCGATTTCCGCACCGCCGTCGAATGATGAATCGTCGGCGACTTGGCGCACTTCGCGAACGTAGTGAAGTACGGCCAAGTGGAACAAGTCCGAGAAGCGAGGTTCATTTATCGCAACGTGACGTCGGAGTCATAATCAAGAGGCGGGAGGAGGGAGGAGGGG